GGGGGGGGAGTAAAGGAGAACTTTTCAGGCTCAGTTTAACCTTACGAGTTTGGTGCACTTTTCGATTGAGTGTTATAAAAGCAATCAAAATCAAAGCATACAGAACTACCATTCAAAGCGAATGAAAATAGCGGCTCGAGGAGCCAATATTTTCAAGGTACTTGTAACCAAAGTGCGATTGATTTCACTTTTGTATACGACTGGTCCAGAGAGTGGCGTGATTTTTCTGGACCAATCAGAGAACGAATTAAAGCAAAACCAATCAATACTGGATTACTTTCGACACTTAATTGAAAACTATTTGCTCTGGGACTTCAGTTTGGGCAGATTCTTGCACAGTTGACCTTGTGGAGCTTTGCCTTGCCTTACTCAAAAAGACATTTAGAACTATAGATTTTAAAGAATTGTAGACCACGCTTCGCCAACGTTTGCACCCTGGTCTACAATTTCGGTCCAGAGAGACGCCCTATTCAAGATACTGAATAGAAAAATGTCACACCCTGTTTAAGATTCAAGAACCTAGTCACTGTACGCCGTTGGGTGGTTCCAGTGTTCCTCCTACCCCCTACCCCTAAATAGTTTCCTGAGATTAGCCTTGCATCTTGAAATGTTTTCACTTTATCTGTTTCATTCAGCTCGGGTGTATTCAGCATTGCCAGTTGTTGATAGTAGCTAAATGGCCTAAGCATTTTTCTTCATAGTGTGCCATTTCAATGGAAAGATGTTCTTTCAGAGTGAAATCATTATGTTACAAGACCGCAAGACAACCTGGTAAGTAAAGAATTCATAACGTTCACATCCACAAGGCTTGCTGCAGGTTTAGAGCCTTTAGGATTCTTTACATCACTCAGTGATCCTCAACAGAAAGAAATTATCCAGAACTGGGTAAAGTGAAACGCAGCGTTAAATAATGTATTGTGCCAGAACAAATCACAGCTCTGTGCAATTTCACAAAGCGCCAGCTGAAAGAGCCTCATGGCTTATAATATGCTACTTACAAGGTCCATTCTCAAAGGCCAAGTGGCCCATGAATGCCTGAGCGTATCCCCGAGTTATCCAGCATAAAGTGACTTGAAGTGTGTTTAATTCACTACTTCAAAACGAGAAGCTTAACCATCACAGATCGCTGCCTAGTGCCTAGTCGAGTTTTCTTGAAAGTTTCTCGGCTACATTGTGAGAATGAAATGTTTTGCCTAAAAACAATCCCTTATGACCCAACCAAGAATTATACTTGTACCACACGATCTGGAGTCAAGCAAGCTAAGAACGAGTCGTGTCAAAACTCCATGTCACTTCAAAAATATTTTCTTTTCTTTTTGTCCGATTAAAAACCTTGACCTCCATAAAATTAACATACCTCGTAAAGTGGTATTATGAACCGCATATAAACTACGTGCAGGCTTAAAAATTACGCAAATTCTTCTATTTGTTTCAGCAAGTGTGAAGAGTCTCGAGGTTGGGTATGTGAAGCGGGTATTAAATGGAACATGCAACCCCTCAGCGGTAAGTTGCGCTGGGATATTTCAAGCCGATCAGACTACGAACAATTTTTTGTAAAAAATTAATTCTGCCTTCAGGTGTTTATACCACGTCGCGGTTCCTTATAAAAGTTCTTTATATCACGCAGAGTCACCGCAGTGTGTTGATCCACTGTCCAAAAGAGTCTTCAAAAAAGGTGAAATATGGAGATTAAGTGAATGTGCCCACTGCGTTTGTGGAGAATCCAGCTCAGGCAGCTGTTCTATAGTGCGCTGTCCCAGACTAAGGTGTGATGACCCTTTTAAGATAAAGGGGATATGCTGTCCTGTGTGTCCACAGGACTACCGCGGAGGTTAGTTATACTGTGCGTTTTCGTTTTCAAATGTAAGAATATGATTAGTGAGTGATAAGTCGGTAAATAACGTCTTTCCATTTACCTCACGCGTCTTGTTCCACAATAAGGTTCTCTTCCGGCTGTGATTAAGTACTATGCATTCGTGACGGGTCATTGCTTTACTTAGTTGTTATTAACCAAGCGGGAGGTCTGTATGGGAGAATCTTGACCGAAATCGCCAGTACAGACCGAACCCAGTGAGGTCTGTAACAGCGACCGAGGTCAAAATTCTCCCATACAGACCGACCTAGCTCGGTTAATAAGATGTTTATTATATGGCTGTGTCTTATATGCCAATTTTAATATTATTTGTACCTTTTTTTTCTAGACCGGTCTAGATGCCGGTATAGATGGGAAATTCTAGACCGCTTTCAATATTGATTTCAGCCAATCAAATTCGTGAATTCGGTAGTTCTCAGTCCTTGTGAGACAGCCATATAATAAAAGATCCTAACACTCTTAAAAACCGTTTTTTTTTTTCGCTTTTATCTCTAGTTAAACGCTGATTTGGGCGTTATTTTTTTCCTAAATGGCCCGGAGCACCTTGCTTGTTTTAGTCTGCAGTTAACGCATAGGTGGTATGAGATAGAAATATATGATTATCGATGCACAGACCTACGCTTGCTACGGTCAACACGTGATATGAATTACACCACTTTCTTTTTATTACCTAGTTTGTCACTTTGAGGGACAAAAGTACTTCCGTAATGAACGTATAGTTCTACCCGACAGATGCACGTCGTGGTAAGTTGGTCTCTATCTGTATTGTACTCTTAAAGGCACAGAACATTACCAGAATTTGTGTTAAAAAGCGACTGAAATCATTCAACTACTTAAGGGACAAAACTGAGTGACCAACCAAGTTCATCACTCATTCAAGTTCATTACCTTTTAATTAAATCACGAAGTAATACATCGTGACGACCAGAAATCTAAGTTTAAATCTCAGTGCTGACCAAAAAAGAAACCCTAAGTATTAGCAATTTGAATATAACAAAGCTAAAAGAAACCTCAGTTTCACACTATATATGATTTAAGACAATCCTCAAGAACATGGGATGTGGAAGAAGTTCGGAGTCAAACCCGAGCCATTTCCGTTTTCGAAGCTGTTGGATTTTGAAACTGAGCTTACGAGAACTCGATGGGGAGCTAGGCCGTATGCCTGACTTACAAGTTATTTTCATCACAGTCATGTCCTGTCTTCAGTTTTAATTAAGGGTTGGAATCCTTACCCGTAAGAGGTGTCACTTTCTTGAGCAAGACGCCATACTCCCGCAATTGCGATGCCTCTCTCCACCTAGATGGTCACCCAGGAGCATAAATGGTTACGCATAAATGGTTACGCATAAGTTGTCAGGAAACGAAGCCTTACGAACTGTTACAAGGGTAACATGCGATGGATTAGCATCCCATTCATAGGAATGTGAAGTAGCCAGCCATACTCTTGAGGCGCCTCATGCTACTAAGGCCTTTGGTCTCGATATATGACTTTACTTACCTTCATTTTGAACAGTTTATGCCGAAACTCCGAATGGGAGTGTTCAAGTTGGAGATGTCCCCAAACAAAGATGATAAAAAGTATGTAGGTCACTGGTTTATACTTTGCAATATGCACATCTCATCCTCTCTCCACTTTTATACGGTTAATTTTTTTTACACAGCTGTAGAACCCCCCTCCCCCCGACCAAACATCCGAGGAAAACTAAAAACAAATTCAGATGGTGGGGCTCGAATCAGTTGATAATAGTTAAATTAAAAAAAGTATATTTTAAGGGGAATGACACCAGTTTGAGTTTGTAAATAGTTAGAGTCGACCGAGATTTATTCTAACGATATCTTTCGGCAAGGCCAACTATCCGACAGAGCTGAAATAATGAAATGCTACGTCAGCGGGTATGCGGTCAACAACGCGGGTTCAAGTGTCCTAGGTCTAAAATGTCGCGAAATTAGTGGAAAATAATAAGGGCTGACCTTTAAAACCTGGCGCATGCGTATACGTTATTCAGCTCTGTCCAGCTATCCTCCAATGTCGTCTTTCTTTTGCAGAGCCCTTAGCCATGAGACGAGTTTAGGCCTTCAGACTTCAGCTGGAGCTTTTCAGTGTGCCTGGAAGGGCTCCTTGCAGTTGTTAGATCCACTCCAGATGAAAGGACATCGACAGGCAATGCCTTACATATTAGATGACTCAGAATGGCGACGTTCCCCTATCTTCAACTTGCAATGAATTTCCTTTTTTGTCGGAGATAATGCATAAGTTCTTCACCTAAAGTATCTAGATATTACTGTTAAGATTTATGTAAAAATCTCTCAATTTGCGAAATTACATGAGTCTTACATGTGATTCGCAAATCAAACTAACTTTGAATCGTTTCCAACAATCAAGGATATGTTTTACCTTCGAGGAAGACAATTTAGATTTGGAGCTTTAGGCTCTTTCAATTAATGCATGGTACGGCATTTCCTGAAAAGAGAACTTTGTTTCCAGGTGAAAACACGTAGAGAAGCCCTCTAGTTCACACTTTTGCAAAAGATTTTATTCGTGACCAGGAAAGCCATGATCATGTATTGTCGAAAACGGGGTGCACACTGCGACGTCTGTAAGAAGTTTATCGCAAACTTACGAAGTCTGTAAGCTTTGAGCCAATTCAATTTGTTGATATTTCAAATTATAGCGTTATTAGCAAAAGTAAGGAAACAAATGGGACAAAATTAGGCAAATGAATAATACTTGTGCCAAGAGTGAATAAAGTTGAGCTTTTGCTCCACAAAATCAAACCGCTCTGTGTTGCTTTATATTACATTGATATAGGATGTCGTGAGCCAGTTTTGTAGTGGATTACTCAGCTCGGTGTTCTTGATCGGATGGCTGGATTCAAGATAATATAAATTTCCTGCTGGATTTTATTTTATTTCATGGCGCTTTTCGATTGACTGTCGTGGAACTAGAAGCAAAGTAATCTCAAAGGTACTGCCAAACTAAAGGCAACTGGCTAAACTAAACGGGATTGTCATCTAAGGTCTTCCAACTAAACGAAACCCACTACAAACGAGGGAAAACCTTGATGACCAAGCCGTACCTGATTGGTCTAGAGAATGGCGCGAGTTTTGACCGAGCGACTCGCATCGCCTTTTGTGAACAGAGTTGTATGAAAAGCAAATTCTGAAGTTCTGAAGTTCATTTATTTGTTTAAGCAGGTTGATTAATTGGCAGCTGTAATAGCTGATGTGGACCTGCTGTCCTAACCCACCCATCCCACCCCAGGGGAGGACATCCATCACACAGTAATCTCGTGTGTGGGAAATTAACGTCTCCTGCCCCAACCCTGCAGGAGACGGGACCTCCATTTATTCGTCCCTATCCGAGAAGACTAGAATATCTAACCATTTCTTGATGTTATAGAAAGGTAGCAAATTCTTCTCAATTATTTTAAGACCTTGAGTGTTGGTCCGGCCGGGGCTCGAACCCTCGACCTCCCGCACTACAGTCCAGCGCTCTATCCATTGAGCTAACCGGGAGGCGGTTAGCTCAATTAATAGTCTACTGTGCGACGTTCGGTTGTAACAACAAATCATGGGATATTCTACTATTTGGCTGCCCTAGGGATCTACATGTACGCTCACGGTGGCTGACAAAGATCTCGTGAGCGGATCTCGTCGTTTCGGAAAACTCGAGGCTGTACTTGGATCATTCCACACCTGACTGTTTCCAAGAATAAAAAGCAGAATTTCTTGGTTTAAAACAAGGAGCTATGCTAAAACCTGCCGAACCTGGTACTCTACCTTCGATGGTCTTTTTTTTCCGACCACTTAGTTGCAACTTAACGACACATTATTCCATGGCACCCGGGCCAAACCGAATTAAAGCTCTCGCACGAAATCGGGCGGCACGCCTATTTTACAAGTCATAATTTGGATACATCAACAAAGTTGAAATGGTAAACTGGCCACTGTAACGATTACAAAAGCTGACGTTTCGAGCGTTGACCTTTCGTCGGAGCGAAGGGCTAACGCTCGGAGACGAAGGGCTAACGCTCG